AAATCATGATAAAATTGTTAGTAGTTTGTGACTGGATACACTACCAGAAATAACTGATTGTCTAGTTAATATTACGTAATATTTTGAAGATCTGAAATAAAAACTAAGATTATCTACTTAGTTTTAAATGTTCAATCAGAATGTTTTGTTTACATTTACAATATTCCCTTTTAGGACCTTATTTTAAATTTTTTTGTGTTTTTCACTCAATGAGTTGAGCTTTATAAAGCAAAGCGATAACATTCACTTTGGTTATTTGACGTAAAAGTTTTTAGGTACTTATTATTATTATTATTTTTAGATGACAACAATATTTTGAAGATGAATGTAAAAAATGACCGAATGTCCTAAAAGTTGTAAATATTAACCAACAATATATATTTTCTTCATTAAAATCTTTAATTGATCTTTGTCATAGACCAATTATTTCCAACAATGAAGTAACAGTCAATTTTATTTAACTTCACTGCTGATGATAGTTTTCAGCAGATTAATAGAAGCTGGACTATCAATATTACCACGTCAGCGAACGAAACCACATCAAAATAATTCACTTGACCCATGAATTTGTTGTACCACCTCAAAATCACATGAGCGTGACACGCTTGACCGTTCTGAATAATAGATGTGCTTCCATTTGAAAACAATAAAACTTTTTCCCGAAATGTGTTCGTCAGCGTGTTCTGGCAAAACATATATAAGATACCGAATACCAACCAACTGCTCGACGGAATAGCGAATGGCTGAACACGGCGGAACATAAATGGCACACCTTGTGATCACTGATTATCACTGCAAAATTCCTCAAATACTGAGACATCATTAACATTCACCCTAATGTTTGTGTTGTGGACAAAGCGTTAAGGAGACCTTATCATCAGTATCACCTCATTCTAACGTTAAACACTAGTTCTATCGTTGCACTGAAGCGTTATTTAGCTGAACTGATCAGTTTACAATTTATAAGGAAGATAAAGAATAAAACTCAATATAACTTTCAGTCACTAGTTGAAATACATTTAGATAGTATGAAAAAATTGAAACTTCTGGATTAAAAGTAGTTTATATGATAAAATCATAACCAGTCTAACATCACATTTATACAAGGATCAATCAACTAGAGCTTGACTATACGAGGAGGAGTGTAAAACATCTTTGTCTATTCACTTCAAAAAATATATTGATAAATGAAGCAATATTATTATTGATAAGGAAGCAACAACATAATAAAATTACATGTGTCCACATCGATCGAGATGATATTATTAAAATGTGAACACACATTAATTAATGGAATAATTGATAATATATACTACTCAGTAGAATTTAACAAACATAAATGCCGCTCGAATTAAATAACGAGCTGTCGTGGTAACATGCTAAATTACTGTCAATATTGACAAAAGTGAGGGTAGTGACGAACTAAAAAAGGATGAAAATGATAATAATGAATTTGAAATCAGCTGCAGATTGATTAAAATAAAGTTTTTTGTAAGGTCATGAACAAAGAAATTTGAAAATGAAAACATGTCATAAATATGTATATAGAAGTGTGTCAATATTATACTACAAACGTGTCGAAGACTATATTATACAAGAATTTATTCAAAATCAATGAAAAATCAAGGATTCAGTTCAAAATTATCTATCTGAATCACGTATACACTCAACACTTAGGAGTATTTTTAGAAGCTTTTCATTGAACAAACACAGAAACATCAATACAATGTGTAAGCCATTCATAGATATCATAGACAGAT